AAAATTAATCGTTATATTTAATTACGTTTTAATATAAAACAAATGTTTATACGACTTAATTTTCTGATCATTTTGTTAAAAAAAGATTCCAATATTACTTCAGTAAAGATTTTTTTTCTGGCAACTTTGACAAGCGAAATTAATAAAAGTACGAATTATTCTAATTATTAAAAGTATTTACCTAAATTATGTCAAGAACTGAAAAGAAAAGTAACAAAAGTCGCTTTCTCGTAGGCTTTATTAGCCTTAAAATATTGCCTCTCAAATAAAGTCTGTGCCATGCAGAGTTTACAAATCCTACTATAATTAAATTCTTATAATTTACACGTTTTTTTATAGATATTGGTTCTTTTATTAAGCATTAAATTTGAACTTAAATCTTCAAAGTAAATAACTAGAATATGAAAGTTAATTTCAAACCATATATTATAATTACGCAAGGCACTTTATTTTCCAAGAAACAGAAAAAGAAATAAATTAACGCTACACTTAAATGTAACTATAGTTAAACAAAATTCATTAAACCTAAGAAAGTTAATTTATAATATGTATGAAGATTTTATCGATTTCGTACACAAAAGGAATGGATTGCACTAAACGTTATGTGACGTTATGGTTTAAAAACAATGTAACATTGAATACAGAACTTTGGCTGAATAATATACACTAACCATAGACATATAACCTATAAATGGACAGTTTAGTTTGACGTCGAAAAGAGTCAATTTTCGAAATGACACATTGTATCATAAATGACAACACTGATGGAATTTACTCGAACAAAATAATTTTTTTACCTCAACTTTGGGCGGTGGCACCAACATATATATAGGTTATAAATCTATGACACTAACATTAATGTAGTATAAACTCATAAACATTAACATCTAAAACAAATAAACAATTTCATCTACAACGTAACATGAACATAATCTAAATCTTAAAACTAAGTCCCAGTTCAAACATACAAAACCACTTCCGAGTTTCAAGTTCTCTATTAATTTTATGTCTAAAACAAACAATCGTTTATAATAATAAATTAGTCTCAATTTTCGATAAAAAGGAAACTCAATAGTTATTTGATAAAAAAAAATTAGAAACTAACTTTCTAGATTTATAACTAACCCAAACATCCAAATATAATAAATTCATTCAAACAGCGATATCGGTTAAAATAGTACCAATTAAAAAATCAGATATTTTAATAAAATCATTAATCAGTGATTAAAAGTTCTTTAAATGGACCATTTAAAGTTGACAAAAATAAAACCGGTTAAAAGCTAACAAGAAATATTGATTTCTTTTCTCTTAGTATAGTATTAGTGTCGACAGCTTTGCCGATACAACCAGAATAAGGTCACATTGTTTACTTACATGATTATTTCAATGATTTATCCAATTATGACAAAATATAATTTTTCAAATTGCAGAACATGATTATATATTTATACTTTAATTGCAATTAAATTATATTTGAGAAATGTAAATAATATTTTTAAAGCCGAAAACACCATATTACATTTATTGTCTGTTTGACGATTGAAGATTTACATATTGTATGAAGCGTGCGCAGTGAAGCCAAACCGATACTGACAAGTGACACAGATAAAAAACGGTAACATTTAACTATCATGATGATACAGCTGTATTAATTTAGTCCAAATATAAGTTTAAATATTTCATTCATAAAAGACATTTCATAAAGTAAATTAATCGAGAGAACAGATATAAGATTCGCTAAGTCGTCGACGTGTCAAGTTCCCACGTTACACGTTGGCGTGGTCCGCTCTCAGCAGCTCCTGACCCTCGACGGAGGTCCAGTAGTCGACGAGCAGGTCGCGCTCCGTCTCCAGGCAGCTCAGGAATGTCGACATGTTCTCACCACTCTTACGGATACCTAGTAACTGTTTCTTCAACTGAACATTCTGCAAATAAATATACAAATAATGAGTATCATAATGACGTTTGCTAAAATAATACGTATTTAAAAACATACTTTAAATCCATCTTTTAAAGAAAAAATCTTTTTGACCTTAGAAAATAACGTTTATATTATGTCTTATAGTTATCTTATGTCTCTATATATATCATTTACTTTGTTTTAATTATCAATTATTAATTCATTATTGAGCAAATCCTGCTACATTTTAGTTCTGACAGTTTTAAAAAGAGTCGAATTGTTCAGATAAAACCGTATGTAGACATATGTAAAGCTCTGCAGTTAGAACTGAACTGAGTGGGATTAAATTTTATCCAATTTATTAGTTAATACATATTCAATTTCACACAAGGTAAAGAACCAAGACACTGTTTTTTTTTACCAAAAAAAAAATAACCTTGCTCGTTGAGTAACGTAAGAAAATAAATAAAAGCGATTTGCCGAGAACAACTCGTATTGCGGTATCTTATCGATTCAGGTCGCGACCCATTTGAACTGAGCACACTATGTGAGTATTATAACGACAGTGCGCCAGCGTTGCCCAGCGTTGGTCATGTCGACATTTCAGATATTTCTCTTTATAACATTATGTACTCCAACACTCTGTGACGACAGCGACGAACCTATTTTGTATTACTATGGTTTAGTAAGTTAATACATAAATAATATTATCATTATAATGCAACTAGCTTTCGCCCGCGACTCCGTCCGCGTGGAATTAAAAAAAAAACAAAAGTGAGTAACCTATGTGTTCTTCCAGACTATCTTCTACATCTATACCAAATTTCGACCATATCTGTTTAGCCGTTTAGGTTACAAACTCTAACAAACATCCATCTAAACTTTCGCATTTATAATATTAGTATGAAGTATGATTAATATTGAGAAACAAATCTAAAATTGTTTGTACATATTTTTACAATATTCATAATTTAGCAATGAAAATCATTAAATGCGTTCATTTTTAACATCGCTACCCTGACCTATAGAGGTGTCAAAGACGAATTTACATTTGAATAGCACGAGCAACAAACTTTCAAAATCTCAATCAGGATTACCACATTCATATGCATGTGTGTCGAAATTCGTGGGTTGTGTTTACTTTGGCAAATGAATTT